ACCGGCGGGTGCTGCAGAACCTGCTGAACCAGGAGGAGCGCTACACCCCCCGCGTCTCCTACTTCCAGTGCGTGCAGAAGGAGATCAAGCCCTACATGCGGAAGATGCTGGCCTTCTGGATGCTGGAGGTATGGGACCCCCCCTCGGCTGGGTCCCCGCTCCCTCCAGCTCTCTGTGCCCAGCCGCCGCAACTTCCCAGCCCCACCCCGGCTTCCCTGGAGCCCCCTGGGGGGGGAGGGTTTGGGCGTGCAAGGGGGGGGAGCAGGGGGCATAAACCCAAGCCCCTCTTGGCCCCATGGGGTATAAGCAGCTATAGAGAAGGTGATGGGCAGCAGCTGGGATGCCTCCCCGCTCCCTCCATAAGCTGCAGCAGCAGGCAGGGGGGAAGTCCTGCAGGCAGTATGTGGCCATGCCTCTAGGGGTCCCCCTGCTCCCACCTCCGCCCCGCAACCGCGGCTGAAAAAGTTCCCTGCAGCGTGCGAGGCCTTTGGACGGGCCCAAGCCCGTGATCCACCAGGCACATCACGGAAGAACTACCATCCTCCCTCGGGAGGGCGGCCGCAGCAGACGCATCAGCTGAGTTCGGGGGACAGCTAAAGAGAGAACGGGGATGGGAGTGAGGGCCCAGGTTCAAAACGAGCGGTGCGATGTGGGGGAGTGCGGAGCAGGACGCGCCGGACAGTGCCCTGCAGCGTGTTTAAATGCTTGGAGAAGGGTTTGCCAGCGCCCAGGGGACAGCTCGGCTAGAAGATGCCAGCCACCCGCTTCCCCAAACACAAAAGCGAATGCAGCCCCCACCCCGCGTGAATCAGCTGGACAAGGAAAGGCACCAGAGCCACTTCTTTTCCCTTGTCATAATCCAGGAGTGAATCGCCTCAATTCAGAAGCAAATGGGAGATATAAAATGTGGTTGAATCTAGCCGGTTGTTCTCTCTACCCCACTGACTTGCCACACAGTACCCAGTTACCATTAAAATAAAATAAGTGCTCAGCACTGCCTTTTTTATCATTGTTCTGCCTGTTAAAGCCCCTTCCTTTGCCATCATTTCTTGGCTGGAAGCTGGGTTGCGGCTGATCCTGTGAAGTGCTGGAGTCAATGACAGCAGAGGGCACTCAGCTTCTCGCAGGATTTGTCCCAAAGTAAAACCAGAAGCTAGAGGGGCTGACGTTTAAGTGTCTGAGCAATTAAGACCAAATCCAGGTCCTACTGAAATCAATGGCAAAACTTGTATTGACTTCAGTGGCACCAAGATTTAATACTATTTTTTTTATGATGATGATGATAATTTTATTTTTTCATTATGGGGGGAGGAATGCAAGCACAACTAAACCTCTGAAGTATGAGTCTGACTTTATTTTTTTAAAGAGAGTCTCTGTGTTGGAGGTTTATGTCAGCCTGTAAAAGGTACATAGGGAAGCAGAGTTAAAATTTGAAAGAGAAGGATGATATTGGTTGCGGCATGAGGGAAAACCTCAGTATTTTTGTAGCTACGGTAAAAGAAGGAAGTAAATTTGATCAGTGTTTCAGTGGTATAGTCTTGTGGCTAGGATTGAAATTCAGGACTCCTGGATCCTATATTTGACCATGGTACAAGTATGGTACACACAGACCGGAGCTAGGAGCTTGGGCATCTTGGGTTCCCTGCCATTGACCTTGTGACACTGGACAAGCCACCTCATTTGGGTACCACCACCCTGAGGTGTCTGGCTTGAGACATGCTGGGGCTCATGTCAGAGGTGCTGAGTCCTCACAATCGGTGAGAGCAGGAAGTGATCAGCATCACTGGTAATTGGGCTCTAGGCATCTCACGTCAAAGATGGAGGCAGTCACAAGACCGTACACACACAGGGAGGATTGTGGTCTGAACCTCTGCCTCCATTACACCCGGGCTACCATTTTTCCTGCCTGCCATGTACAGACAAGTAGTAGTGTTTGAAGGCATCGGGCTAAACTCTGTGCTCGTGTCACATGTGAAGTGTTGAAGTTTCAACAGCAGAGAATTTAGCCCTTACTATTTAAAGGTCTCTCTGATCACCAGATATACAGCTGTACAGATGTGTCATGTACCATAATAATCAGAAGCTTTGAAGTCCTGCTGCAGACAGGAGCTGCTGAGTTCTGCACGTATAAAGCCTCCTCTCCTCTACTTGCATTTTGTTAGGTATGTGAGGAACAGAAGTGTGAAGAAGAGGTCTTCCCCTTGGCCATGAATTATGTGGATCGCTACCTATCTTCAGTCCAGATGCGGAAAAGTCACTTGCAGCTTCTGGGGGCTGTCTGCATGCTCCTGGCTTCCAAGCTGCGAGAGACCATGCCCCTGACTGTGGAGAAACTCTGCATTTACACAGACAATTCCATCACAGCGCAGCAGCTCCTGGTAACCACCCCACCCTGCCCGATAGCCCTCACCTCACTCCCTGCTCTTTATAATCCTCTAGATGCTGCTCCACAATGCACAGGTGTTGCCAGGGATCCTGTCTTCCTCCTGTCTCTCCCATTCAGCCTCTTTGCTTCCTAACCCAAGTGGACACGCTGCCTTTCTGAGAGAGAGAGACCTGCCCCCCCCCGCAGACGTAGTGGTGGTCTCCCATTCTGCACTCCAGATGCAGAACCGGGACACTGAAGCTGTAGAAACCGTTCTCTGTGTTTCAGTGCACATCCCATCATTGAGCCTCATGGGGTCCCATGTTGGGCTCCGTGCCTAGCTTCTTTAAGTTAATGTACCACTGCAGAACAGCTCAGGATTGACAGCCCTGGAGACCAAAGGGCTCCGCAAGAGCAAAAGGAGATGAATGGGGAAAGTGTTGTCAGTGTGCACCTCTACGCTGACCTGAAAGGACCTCATCTCTAGGCAGGAGAGGAAATTTGACTTCCCCTTTCTGCCAACCTGTGGTCTTCCTTCTGAAATGGCCGATAAGATGGGGGCTGATAGCGGTGACCGGGCCTTTTAGGACCAAGTGGACTGCTCATGGGAAACTGCTCTGAGACCATCATTCCTGGTGCCACCCCCAAAATGATGGGCTCCATAGCAAGACGTTGGGAATGGCATGGGGAAGCGATGTGGAACTGCTGCTGCCTAGAGTTTATGGGTCCTTCTGGAGGATTAATGTGATGGAAAGGAGGAGAAGCAGCTTCTACAAGGTCTTGAGTTAAACCAGAAGTGGTCTCAGTTGCTTCCTGGGTGTCCCTTCAAGTAGATTCTTATTGGACAAACAAGGGCTTGCCCAAGGCACTGGTCAGAAGTGGGGTTTGACACCTCTGAGTCAGTGCTGTCCACAGGGGAGGAAGTCGAAGAGCCTTCCTTTCAAGGGGGCTTCTGTGGTGCTAAAATTTACAACTCTCAGGAGGAAACAGCCACTTCAGTTCAATATAATAAACATTCCTGGGGACGGTTTCTCTGATAGAATTTCTCAGAGTTAGTCATCAGCTGGTGAGGTTTTTCCTTTCGGGGTGGGGGTGGATGAAGATCTAATAGTGACTTGTCCCTGGGGTGGGGACTGAACCTACAAAACTTTCAGGTGTGAGTCGATTAGGCTTTTCTGGTTTTTGGAGACCTTTTTTATGACCATGTTTTTTCCAAGTGCAAATGAGAGTTGGGGAAAGTCCCATCACCTCCTGGCTCCTTCCCCTTGACTATGAATGGGATAATTGTTGCTGCAGAAACACCAAAGGGAGAGGTTTTCAGCACAGATAGGTGGACTGTGCAAGACACGGTGGCTCAATACCAGGAGCTGCGGGTGCTTGCAGCTTCTGGGGATTTGGCCCTGTGTGTATAGCAGAGCTCTTTGCTTGTGCTGCTGTAGGGAAGCATCCTGTTGGTCAAGAATACTCCACACATGTGGGTTTTGCTCGTAAAATAAAACATCATCCCTGACACCACCTTCCGGACTCTAGGACATAACTCCCAGGGGTTTCAGTGGGCAGTGTGTGCATGGAGTTATATTTCTGGATCAGGCTTTAAGCTGGAGGCTGGTATGCATTGGCCATGTGATCATGATGAGAATTTCCACTCGATAGAGAGAGACTTGGTTTCCATTCATGGCCTTTCCCTGTGCCACCAAAGGTTGGAGATGCTGCAGAGGCAGCAGGCTGAGCATGTGAGCAGGGGTGGGGGGGGGTCACTTACCAATCACTTTCTGGGAGTGGAGGGTGCATTAGGAAGTCAGCAAAAATGATCCAGAAAGGATGGAGAAGGGCCTTTTTTTCCTATGATTACGGGAGAGAAAGACGCGTTGGTCATACCTCAGTGTCATGGTTGTGGCTCTGGATTTAGTCCTGGGGTAAAGTCTTCTGCCAGCCCTGGAAATCTGCTGTCCACAGAACAGGGACACAGGCTGCAGCAAGGCAAGCCTCCACAGCTTTTGTACCCCAGTGACCACTGTCTGCACCTCTGACCCCATCTCTGGGGTTGAGAGGGCAGTTCAGCCTTCATGGCCCATGCAGTCTTTTGCATCTCTCCTGAGACCATGAATTAGTGGAGCTTAGTTAGTGCCAGTTGTAATTGTTTCTGTGATGTGGATACCTGGATACTACGAAATGGACTTGATAACCACCTTGTGTGGCACTTTAATAGGTTTCAGATTGGTGCATCTGTATTTAAGCACAAAGGAGAATCGCTGTAATTTTGCCTGTGGGTCTGGCTGTTTCAAAATTAAATGTTGGAAGGCTTGGTCTATAATAGGCTTCACTTTCTGAAAGAACAGCAATTGAGCAGTGCCAAAGTGGGAGCTAGAAGTGTGCATTCCTTTGCTGTGAAAGGCTTTGACCTTGAGGTTAGTCTTTATTTTTAAGCTGAAGAGCTAATGGCTTGTTGCCGCAGGACAGTTCAAATGTTCGCGAGCAAGGAGCTGGGGCAAGTAATGCCTACATCCATCCCCGCTTTCCACGCGGGTCACATGCGGAAAGGGAGGAACAGTCAGTGACACTGCCGGACTCCTCCCACAACCCAAGCTCTGCTCACTCTTGGCACCAACATGAGACCCACTTGCAGGTGATTAGGAGAGCTTCCTCCCACTGTGTTTCTCCTTTCTTGTCTGTCTACGTAGGTTCTTATCCTAGCTCCCACCACCATGAGTTCGAGATGCTTTTCCCCACTGAGCATAGCAAAGACAAACACTCCTGCCATTGACTGTTTGTCATTGCATTTCAGTGTCTGCCTGCAATTGGGGTTAGCAAGAAGAGTTTCGTCCTTGGCACCCCGTATTCATCCTTAAGCTCGAAGATGGACTTTTCTTGGGAGTGGGAAGCCTATTTGTTATGGCCAAAAGAATAGATCAGTCCAGGTGCATGGGCTTCTAGGAACAGTTGCCCTTACTATTTGGTACAACTCAGTTTGCTTGAGGTCAAACAGAACATGTTCTGGTCAATGTTCAGTTAGGGCGAGGTGGTGATTAGGGTCAGAGCAGTCGGGCAGCCTGGAGAAGGACTTCTGAAAGCCGCTAGTTGAGAAAACACCCTGAAGGCTGTGATCTGAAAGTCATTTTGGGCCCCATCCCACCAGCCCTGCTCTTGACAAGCTAGGTAAGCTAGTTGGGAGCTGGCTATACTATGACTTGCCACTCTGTTCCCTTCTCACAGGCTCACACAGTCTGTGACCTACGAAGGGTTAAAAACCCTGGGGCAATGTTGGCTGAAACTCATGAGGTTTGAGACTCGACAGAGTTAATGCCCTGCTTACAAAACCAGAGAAGGAGCTGCTGCTTTCCTCCTGTGTGCTAATAATGTTGTGTACTTCTCTTCTTTCACAACCCTGCAGTGGGAGTGGGTGGGGAGGGGAAGGAGAGCTTCTTCATCAAGGTTCGGACAATGGATGCTTCCTGGCTTCTTACCATGGGTCTGTGCCAGTTTGGCCTCGGGCTCACTCTCCCGGGCCTCGCGCAGGAAGTTGGCTTACTTTCCCAGCAGGTTTACTTCCTCTTCTTGGAGAGGATGCCTGGCACCAGCTCCGTGCTCTGAAGAGGATAAATTAAAACAAAATCTTGATGAAGTTATTCTTGGTAGAAGGAAATGATGCAATGAGGGACTTGTCCACTTAAAGGAAGTTGGGTTTCCGTCAGGGGCGTTATCTAACCTACCTTTCTTTTTTTGCAGTGGCTTTTCTTGCATGTTCAGGAGTGGTACTTAGCCACATGATGGTTGGGGGGAAGCAGTCATTGCGGGTCATCCTGTCCTTCATCTTGATAATCCTTGGCTCCATAGTTCATGCCTTAGACATCTGCTTTGGCTATAACAAGCGTTGTTCTTCTCTGAGGTTACCCAATTCCTCCGTAGAGTCTGGTTACGACGAGAGGATGGTTTTGGCTCCCAAAGCAGCAACAATGCTTTCTAGCACCACAATTGCCATGAGGTTTCACAGGCATTAATTGCTTTTTGTAACAAGTGCGTGTTTGCACAGTTGGGCTTGGGAGGTGAGAATGAAGATGGGTTAGAACTATTGCAAAGCAAAGCAATTTAAAAAAAAAAAAACAAAACCAGCTGCCAGTGGCTTTGCAGATAAAACAGGAGTCCTATTTCTTGCGGTCACCACAGATTCTGCTGTCCCAGCCTTGCAAAATCTGCTTCGGTGTCTAAGGGGAAAGAACATACAGGCATCTCTGCTGATTCCCCAGTACAGAAGGCTGCAGTAACTATACCTTCACTTCCCCGATTCCCCTTTACTGGTTGCTTTTCCCAGCTGCCCTCTCCAAAGGCTTATTACACTGGGCTTTGACTTTAGCAAATCTAATTCCCCAGCTAGAAGTCATCTGCAGTGAGAATGTCAAATTGGCTAAGCTCATTTCAGGCAGCAAAGCAAGCAGCTGGATTTTCAGAAGAGCCCAGCATTTTGGGTGCAGAGCACTCTTGAAAGTACAGCCCTTGTTTGATACCTACATAGGAGCTAAACTATTCTGACAGCCTGGCCCTGATTCTGTAGGGACCAAAATCTGGCCCTGATCCTCTTGGGACCAAACCCTTGAAAATGCAGCCCTTGGTGGAGAGAGAGACTTGTGTATCACTTTTGGTGTGCATGGCACTCTAGAGACCTTCAGGAAGATGAGCTTCCTTCTTCAAGGATCTTAGAGCAGGGAGTCCAGGCTTGGAAGATGCCAGAAATTGTTCCTGACCTTGCCGCAGCACATTGCTCCTGTCCGCTGTTGAGAACTCAGGCGAAGCTTTAACCTGAGTTTCCTATTTGCAAATGGACTTTCATGACTTCTCATTTCAGTAGCACTTAAGATCTGTTGCTAAGTGGGCTGGGTGGCTAACTGCAGCTCTGAAGTCTCTTTCCATTCTCCTTTTGAGTCATCTAAACGTGCATAGGAGGAGGGGGTCGGGCTGCCATCGCTTTGCTTAGACCTGCTGTTTTCAACATAAAATGAGTCTGTTGTAAGGAGCGAA